CCATGGAATATCTTGTCAATGTCCAATATAAAAGTTCGACAGGGGAATCTTTGAACTACTCTCAGCTTCGGATTCTGCTATCGAATGGTTATCCAACCTAAACCCTAAATTGGTAAATTGTTGCTCCCCAGTCAAACGAAAAGAAGAAGTCGAAGACAAAGAATCGGATACTTCTGGAAGAATTTTTTTTTTTGAATGTGCGTAACGACCTTCGTGAATGAACCTTCAAAGCAACCTTTCCCTTCGGGTGTCCAGTGAAGGCAGAATCACTCACAAGGGCTGCGGATGCCAAAACGTTTCGAAATGGTTCATTTGACATGCTCCATACAGCATGGAAATTTCCTCTTCCATAAGCAGTTCTATAACTTTATTTAACCCTTTCAGGCCCGGCGGGACTAAAGAGCCCTACAATTTTTTCGAATATATTGTAGGGCTGCGCAGAACGCACGACCTTGAGGCCTGGCAAGACTTCTGAATTGCTATGACCTTTTGCGGAATTTGTATTTTTGTGGCCAATTGCATCTCATTATGAAAGGTTGAATGAAGAAAATTTAATTTTGCATAATTTATCATTTTAAATTCTGGTCTGAAAGAATTAACTTCAAATTGCCTGAAGTAGGTTTAAGCTAATAGCTTAAAGCTTTCTTGTTTCCCTGAAACCTTAAAAGTCTTCTCCCTCTTGCTTCTGACCATTCCAGTCCATTCCTGTTCAGACATCCTATGAAAGTATTTTGCTTAGAGAAAGGAAGTTTCCCGAGGAAAAGCCATTACATTACATCTCGGATCTCCTCTCGCAGATAGCCATGCTTCATTACGCATGTATAAGGAAGATCCAAGATTCCTTCATCCATGAGCTCGTCCTTTCTGCACGGAGCCATGGAAGAATAACGAGATTTCACGAGATCAATCATTTTCTTGTCTTCCGTATAATCCTTTCGAGTAAATTATTTCGGCCTCATGGTAAACGGGATGAAGGATCCCTTATGAGGTTATGGTCCTCTGAAGCCAGAATAAAATTGATGGACATCGAGTTCAAGGGTAAGCCTACCTTTCTGATAAGCGTTCCTCGGAAGTTCATCCTCAAAAGGAGAAGTTGATGAGAGAGACGGAGGAATCGAAGTAATTCAAGAGTTAATTAGCTCCATTAGTCTCCTATTAAGAGTTCAAGGGGTTTGAAACGAGCGCACGACGCACCACGGTCTGAGAATTCCTGTTTACATGCGTGCACGCTATGACACGACTGAAATAAATGGATTCACTGGAAGACAGGTTTTGCCTTGCCACAAGTGAAAATACTCCATGAAATAGCGAGCGATCAATAAATAGATCTTAACACTCGAACTATGTGGTCAATTTGAGCGCTGTATTAAGTTAGTATCATACAATTATTCTACAACATTTTGTTGGTTTTTTTTCCCAGATGCTATTTGGTATGTTCAAAATGTCGATATTAGACGGGAAAAGTAAAAACTGTGGCCTTGTTTGCCAAACGAGCAAAGTGCATGAAAAATCTGCAAGCAGTCAAGATGTCTGCTCCGGTAGTTCCAGTGTTAAAAGGTAAAAAGCAGGGGAAAGTGGGGTAATGCCGAACACCTAAGAAAAACCTGCTTTGTAGGCCAAGAATAGTGATTTGAGCCATACTTTAAATCAGTTTCTGTTTGTTATAGAATTTCATTAGTGATCAAAGACACTCGTTCGCAACTAACAAAAGCAATGTTAAAAAAAAATTTCTCTTCAAAAACTCTGAACAGCCTCTAAATGTATTTGAGTAGAAATCGCACATGTATTCCATGAAAGCAACGGGAATTCCCTCGGTGCACTTTCCGTGTGCTCACTCTCAAAGCACAGAGCTCACTGTCCAGTCCGCAAATAGTCACAACTCCATTTAGGCGTACATAAGTAGGATAAATAAGCGTAGGATACCTGTACCCCATGCGACCAGTAAAGGGTTAAATATATCGACTCCAATTGCCTTTTTTTTTCTTTTCTTTGCACCTTGAAAAGCATCTGAAGAGGATTATGATAAGACATTACCCAAGATAGGACAACATAAGTATTACCTGGGTAGCATAGAGTGATTCGTATTCTCTTCAACGCAAATGCAATAGAATGTGGGAATCCGAACGTTCGGTTCCCCCCCCCCCCCCACCCCCTCCCCTGTTGCTTGTTCGGATTTACACCGACATTCAAGACGCTCGCTCTCACGGATTAGCGTGAGAACGAATATCGTGGATCTCGTCTCTTTTCGAAAGAACACTATTCCTCTTTTCTATTCCTAGAGAACTCTTCTTTTCCATGCGAATTCGTTCGAATCGGTTTAGGGTGGGAGGGGGAGGGGCAACTGCGCTCCACACTACACTGGCTACCAACCTGGAAGAGGGAGAGATTAGAGCTGATCATTTTAAATCTAACCCCTTTATCTCCGGTTTGCTCCGACTTTGTCTGCATCTAGTATTTGCATCGCAGTACCAAAACTTTTAATTAATTCATGGGTCTTATCATATATAGAGAAAAAAGGGAAAGATTGATCGCTAATGGACTCTGCCAATTACGAATGCATTCTTACATTTACATTCTTACAAGCAATCTACATTTCATGACGCAGGTTGGAGATTTCAGAGTAGTGGGAAAACATCTCGGAACATTATTATGCAGGAGCTTGTGTTATTACAGTCGCCGCAATCATCATAACTCATGCCAACACTCAAGTCGATCAGAACAATTAACTACCCAGCAACCATCTCTCACTCTTTGCGAATATATGCTTGATCGATTGTATCGATAGAAAGCCGCGGGTGGATCACGAGTATATGAGGGACCTGGCTACTTGATCAATAAAATATGGGAATGGAACGCTTGGTTTCATCTCATTTTTCAATTCCTTGAACGTAAAATGTCCTCTGTCATACATCATGATCATGATAGCCATCCTATCAGTCCAATATCTATCAGTTTCAGCGCAGCAGCTGCTATACACGAGCAATTCTCTAAAAGCACCGCTCAATAAGGTTGAAGTGCCTATTCGCGTCACTTTAAACCTCCTGAAAATACACTTTCCATGGAAAAAAGGACACTACTCGGCGGTGGGCCGCCATATTGGAATGCGGTTTTCACTGGTGCACACGTCAGATATCCTGAAAAGTCTCTGACGTATTCATATGAGTTCGTCTCGTGCCAATATACTGTAGAGAAAAAGGGTGAAATCCAACGCTGTCTCGTTGATAATACGAATTTCTAATTACATTATTACTCGTGCCATTTTGCGGCTCATGTTGAACCAGATCGCGTCTATCAATAGGAATGCCTACGTCTCGGGCGTGCTGAATTGCGTCACATTCAGCATGCCACTCAATTTGTTTTCAAAGAACATTACTCTTTCAGCAAAAAACCGTCATGATGAAATAAATGCTTTTGCGTACGAATCGTCAAACATCACAAGTAACCAGAATGGGACAAGAAATCGCATACAGAGCTTCAGTAACCTCACAATCACATTGTGACATGCTGTACTATGAGTATTATTTCCCAGGTAAGGAAAATGAATAAAAAGTAAACATCTACTATGTGTGGATTTGGAGTTAGAGTGTCACTGTCTTTGGGGGATCACGTTCTCGTAGAACATGTGATGGTGTAAAAGTCGCTGTATCAAAACGTAAATCTTAAAAAATATATACGCTGTCCTGCTGTCTTGGTCTTGTTTGTGGTAAAGTTAAAAAATAAATTCCATGATTTTGTTTTACAAGGTCGCTCTAGGAATGCTATATTCGAGGCATACTTCTGTTAACCTTCCTCCTGCTAGGATTCTTTGGAAAGTCTCCGGGAGCCCAGCCACTTCATTTTTCTCCCTTTTTCTTGTTCTCGTGCTAATTTTTTGGTCCCCTATTACATGATTCGGCTAAAGTAAGGCCGCAAAAAGCGCCGGAAAATATTTAATCGAAGGATACACGATCTGGAGAGACAGAAACGCAGCATCTAGTATGCAACAATTAACCCTTCACTGATTCTTTCTCCATAGTTTTCAGTGGGAAACGTCAAGCGCCCATATAACTTAACGCGTAAGAAGACGAAATGCTATCACGCTGCGCTGGCCGATTCGCTGACCGAGATAGTCGTCTCACTTTGGGGCATACATTTCAAGACGGAGAAATGAATTACGCAATCCGGGTTGGAAATTTTTGAATGGAGTAATTTTTCTTCGAGCATTTTGGGTGCATTTCGTGCACAACTGTCCTCTCAGTTGAGCTTCATGTACGCCATTTAATGCGGACAATAAACCTATTTATATATTCATAGACTGCATGAAAATATAACAACGAATAATCCATATAAAACCATTAACTACTAATGATTCAGGTTAATGATTATAGCAGCTTCAAGTCTCGGCAATTATACTTCAATCTACATATAGAAGTATGGATCGCATGAGCATCTATGGATGCTTTCCACTTTTTTTTCTGAAAATGTATTTTATTTCGTTCAGTTCATTCAGAAATATCGCAGGAACACATGTGAGGCGAAAATACGAGGTAGATGGGATTTTAAAATGAATAAATCGGTTTTGCGTCAATAGGGGACGCAAATGCACAACAATCCATAACCCAGTGCTCATTCGCGGCATTGTCTTTTCTGGAATTCTGGTGACGTAAACTAACGAAAAGCTGAATTTTATTGCAGTACCCAGTCCAAGGATAGATTAAACATGAAATTCAAGCCCATCAGGCGCACAAGCAAAAATTAACGATGTGCTTCCGCCTGGTCGCCTAAGCCAAAGCGCGGAGAATCCTTACCTCCTGAAGACGAATGACGCTCGTGCCGGCATACACGCTTCAGAAGGAAGCAAAAATGATGGTCCTTCGTCGGGAAACTGCGTATGCATGATCTCCGATTAAAGTGCTATCATTTAAACCACTCCTTGCCTTGTCTTGACATCAGCTGCTTGATGGCATTAAAAAAACTTTCCTTCGAAGCTGCGAACTGACCCTTGCCGCGAGTACGCATTTCTACCTTAACTGAATGCAGTACATGGTGCGTTCACAGACCTCCTCGTTCGTGCGTCCGTAGTAGGGCTGTTTGCCGTAGGAGAAGATTTCCCAGAGGAGGACACCGAAAGACCAGACGTCGGACTTGAGGGTGAATTTTCCATACATGATGCTCTCGGGTGCCATCCATCTCACTGGGAGCAACCGATTCCCTTCCACCTGCAACACTGACTCCACCAGCTATCACTCCACGCGAGAAGGATTAGAAGGAAAGAGGAGGAGAAGCAAACCTTGTAATAATCACAGGTATAGATGTCTCTGGCGAGACCGAAGTCTGAGATCTTCACGATGAGACCCTCGTCGACGAGGCAATTCCGACATGCCAGGTCTCGATGCACGAAGTGCCTCCCCGAAAGGTACTCCATCCCTTCTGCAATCTGATGACTGAAGTCGCACAGCTGCTCCTGTCATTCAGAAAAATATACCGTTCCCAGTCGTCATGTGGTGTCCCAATACACAGATAACCGTACGGGATAAAATGGATTAATCTGACAGCCGACTCACCAGACTCAAAATATCTTCATGGACATTGGATGCATGGATTTTCAAATGAGGGGAGCGAGATCGAAGAAGTTCGGCTAGATCTCCCAAGGGCATGTATTTGAAAACCATCCACGGCAAGCCCATCTCTTTGGATTAAATCAAAAAAGACAAAAGAAAAAGGAAGTAGGATAAGAGGAAACGACAAAAGGAAACGAAGTTTCGTTCCTTGGTATCTGTACTGCTATACGTGTGCTGAATTTTCGCACTCCATTGCCCTCACCTCCATTTCCCCAACGAACACGAAGAGAAAGCCACAGCAGCTCAATAAAGTCTGAGTTGTTACTATGCGGGATGCAGAGGCATCCAGCCAAGGATTTGACAACGAGATTTCCCTTCTTCAGGCACAGCTATTGCATGCACTCACGTGATCTGAACTGGAAAACGTTTATGTGACTGGGTCATGCTAGCGTGAAATTGTTTTTTTTTTTTTCAAAAGGTGACTCTTAGCTTATTCCACCTCCATCTCAGCAAGGTCAGAATGATTGCCGCATAGCAGAAGAACACACAAAATGCTCATGAAGGCTCAACGATGACGAATGAACAAGGGGAGGAAATTTCCTTGTCTTGACCCTCTTTGTCTCGACTCCCTGACGTTCTGAGTTCCACGATACCAACATCTAGTATACGAGGTAGATAGGGTTTTAAAATGAATAAATCGGTTTGCGTCAATAGGGGACGCAAATGCACAACAATTCATACATGGTGAGTGACTGACTGACTGACGCTAATTCTAACCATGTTCTAGAAATGATGGGAGGCTGAAACTTGATACACATATAGCTGTTAGATTGCAGACTCCAGAATAATTTCAACTTTGGAGGTATATAGCTCTGGGGGCACATTTTAGGGGATTGATTTTAGGCCTAACCCATGGAGGGACGCTTAGGCCAATGCCATTCTCATGGTCACACTTCCTTCAAAAAAACGGAAGGAACGTGAATAGCTGCTGGGTTGCCGACTCCAGAATGATCCAACTTCGAATATCCGACTTTGGGGGTACATGCCCTGGGGGCACATTTCGGAGGAGGAGAGAGACTGGTTTCGCAGATTTCGCTAACCCACAGATGGACGCATAGGCTAATACCACTCATTCATTTTCCTCCTTCAAGGAATCGGGAGGGAAAACAAATAACTGTTTTATTGCATAATACAGATGAAGTTCGACGTTGAAGGTACGTACCCTGAGGGGATTGTTTTAGCAGACCTATATCTAACCCTTGGACAGACCCTCAGGCATACACCAATCTCGACCGACCCATTCGCATCCAGGTATTTTTTGGCCGATCTGACTGAGAAACCTGATGCCTTAGCTTTAGACTCAAATTGTTCTTTCACCTATCCAGACTTGGTGGAAGAACATTGATTCATGCGTACCGGTACGCTTGCGGATGCGAATGAATGACATGTGTTTTTCTAACAGGGAAGCGAGTGTGAATTTCCACAGACATTGCAATGTTGTGTGCCTATGCCCAATTAACTTACGGGCGCTTAGCCCCATGCTATTTTTATATACGCGCTTCAACAAAACGAGAAGTAATAGCTATTGGCTGCATTCACGAAATGCGGTTTTTTTTCACGGACATGTATGTGAAGGACAAAGGTATGTAACCTTTAGAAAATTAAAAAAAGGGACTTCCGTAGAGTACTTTAGCCCGAATATAGATAATAATATACCGATAAAATCCCCCACAGTCTACATGGAACTATTGTGTTAAAACTCTGAAGTGATGAGCTTATGTACGAGTTTATCTGCTATTATATTCTTTTTGAGATTCATATGCAAAGAGTGTGATGACCACAGACAGGAATTAAATTCAATATAGGAACACTAAACGACGTGCTGAATTTTTACTTCGTGACCCTTATGCTGGAAATAAAATGATGTCGCCATGAATATATTCTGAAACAACCTTAAAAATTTATTTTTAAGGTGCGAGCGCCGAAGGCTCGAGTATTGCCAAACCCATTAATCAAGGAGTTTGACCGCATCATTAGGGGTGAGCTTCGAAAACGAAAGCTATAAATGCATTAGTAGTTTTCTTTGGTCATACAGCGCCGAAAGCGCGTCCATAGGGATAATAAATAGCCAAAAGAGAAGAGAAACGATGTACTAGTGACTGTCCTGATGTGAAAATTTAGCCGATATTCCGATTTTCGGCATGTGTTCTTCAAAGATTACCGATACCAATACCGGTATTTGTGCTTGTGTGACCATTTGTGGAGAGCTAGTGTCGTCAATATGACATTAACCTGAATTACGTGCATCAGTTCTACATTGAGCATAAAGGAGAAAACCATTAATGTAACTTCTTGATTGAAATCATGTGCTTCTCCGAAATCACAACAAATCCCAACAAATAGCACTCCAAACCACGATGAAACAGCCATATCAGATCTTGTTTTCACAAAAGGTGTTACATTGTACGAAAGATATTCGCATCACTTTTCGTTCGGGACAGATGTCTGAATCTATGAAACAGTACTGCTTTAGCATGACTACAATTGAAAACAGACAAGAACACAATCACCTAGGATAGGCCGTATGATGTACCGGTTACTGGCCGAGTGCAATCTACATTTAACGTTGGCCCACCATGCTGCACAGGGAATTGCGCTCCTTTGATGGCGCCTCGCTTCTAACCGTGTGCTTTTAGGTTTCGAGTTTCGCTACCCGGAATAAATGCATATCGAACCAGCCACTACCTCCTTGTAGGAGTTCCCGGCCTGCTACAAAACGCCGGGAATTAAAGGAGGGTGGGATGCAATATGTGTTAGGCGTACAAAAATAAAATAAAATATTAAAAAAACCCGGAAATTGGTGGGCCCCAATATTGGTTTCGCCGGTTTCATGGAAAACACCTGAATCGGCCGATACCCTCTCCGATCTAAGGATCGGTACAGCCTTAGAAATAAGGCAAGGAAATAAATTCCAGCAGCTTTAGATTGCCAGCAGGTATGTGCAGACTCGAGAAAGTCATTCCCTTTGTCAACATAACTTTTAGCTCTTCCCCTGTGGATGAGAAATAAATACCGTAGAAGGCCCGAGACAGTCGATTAAGACGGACCCCCCCAGACGGAGTCGGAACATATTAAGGAGCCCTTTCTCATTACCTTGGAGGACGACGCCGGTAAGAGCAAGAATGTTCTTGTGCTCGAAGGAGGAAGCAACGGCGACCTCGAGAAAGAAATCGTTGGTTGCTTCGCGCGTCACCTGGTCCTTCAACACCTTCACTGCCACTGTCATCCCCTCACCCTCTCGAGGCCGGTACCCTCCTGCGACAAATGTTTTCCATCATTATTCAGTATTGTAATCTACTTGGCGGCGCAAGAAGGGATGACACATTATTATTTTTTTTAACGATTCCGTATTTCATACATGATAACTTTATTATCTGGCAACTATGCATTCATTATTTGATTATTCATAATAATGACGATTCATGACAAGAGACAGCTGAACGGCAAAATTAGTCACTAGATGGCAGTCAAGAGAAGAATACTTTCAGTACAGCGGCGGGGGGGAAATGACTGATTTTTGCATAGAAATTTCTTTTTTGCCAGGTTCCGCAAATCTGAGTGGCTTCATCGACCAATATCTGAATCATAACACAATGCGAAACAAAAGTCAGTTGACAAATGAGAAAAAAACAACTTTGCCTAAAATCTTTGTCTTTGCTTGGCAGGTGCTGACTGAATACGCTTAAAGGAAACGCATACCAACCATGCTGACACCAGAACAACGAGTTTGCTCTTCACGCACTTCGCTCTCACGGTCCGTCAGAAACTGAATAACATGTTTGGTGATCAGTGGATTGGACGGGGGAACACCAGAACGAGCTCAACTCGTTCTGGTGTCAGCATGGTTGGTATATTTTCTCATTTGTCAACTGACTTTTGTGTCATACCGTATGACCTCCTACTATTGAGTATATTCGCGTGCAGAGACCTTTGAAGACTTTGCCGAAGCAGCCGTGTCCAATCTCCCGTTCGAAGACGATTTCCTTTTCGGGAATGACTTTCACGTTGTAATTGCTGAGTAGAGAGGAGGTCGAGACTGCATCAGCGTAATTCGGATTCACTGAGGCGTTCTCCCCGCTCAGCAACTCTTCCATCCCGCCAACGACCATCTGCAGGAAGACGAATGAAGCCTGTAAGTAGGCCCATACATGAAAGCAAATACTCGTTGTGGCAAGTCTCTGGAGTTCATGCCCAGATTTTATTTCCCGACGGCGTGGGAATGATATCTCGTTCACAGGGTCATTCAACGGAGGCGTGGTGCACCATTTAGCTCATCCCTTTGTGATGGAAGCCCATCTTATTCTCTCTCTCCCTCTCGCTTCATGATATGGAGTTTCTTTAACTTCTGCCAATTCAGGTCGGTCAGCAGTCATGCTGCTTGTTTTTATGAATCAATAAAGGACAAACAACCAAAGAGACGGTCGACGCATCTGTCACACATATGCCCAGTTTCATTCATAATGCATGAACTCTGTCTGCGATACACAACTTATTCGGGTGTAGAGGATACCTAGAACCTCATATGGAGAAGCATTCCCTGAGGAATGGGATGGAAGTATGAGTCCTGTTACTGACAAATTATACACAGCTCAGCTTGGCTCATGCATGAGGAATGGTCATTTGTTCACCCGCACACAGTGACACGCAACGTTCTATCCTTTTCATTGCGTCTTTGGCATTCTCTCACAGCCTTTCTTGGTCATCCGTCTGCATGCATATTTACCATTATTCCATGATTTATTCTATGATTAGAATAATATATTGTTTACTTCAGTGTTAGATCGGCTCTTTTTGCATAATTATATTTAAAAATACACTTTACGCGAAAAATGACAACTTCAAGCCTTCCTTATTTCCAAACGTTAACTTGATTAAATCAATTTTGTTGGAAAAGAACAAAGACAGGCAAAATCAGTGATGTCTGAGGCGTATACGCTAATGGTGTTTTTCATTTGCGCAAAGTCAGAGAATTTCCCGATAATTTGCCCTAATGCGTTCCGTAAAGCTGGAAGCTGACTGTCAGACCCTATCGTACAATTGCGCGAAGACCAAAGGGACAACTACACCCCTAGGCTGCAGGGTTTCCAGATGAATAACAGTTACCGCCGCTGTTGAGGAAGCGGACACCCATTTAAATAAGAGTTTCATAAAGTAAACGGGAAAGCACTCGATCATGTGGAAAGCACACCACTTACGTTAATGCGTGGA